TCATTATCACCTGGTTCATCTTGGTCTCGTGTGTCGCCCGGACTTTCAGCCCTAGGCTGATGATTTCCAGCACTTCTTCCAATGTGGTCACCGGGATCAGGGAGAGATCCTGGGTTGTCGAGAACGAGAGGGCAGGGACCTTCGGGGGTATCCATCGTGCTTTAATTACCTGTGGCTCTGTTGCGTGTTTATCTACCTGCTGTATTTTTGCGGAGTACTAATTCGCACTCCTCTGCGTCTTGTTGAAAAGGCACGAAGAAATCGGCCTTTCATATTTTTGTACACTTAAACACGACTCACTCACCTAAAAATTAGTCAACACACCGCGTGTGTATCCGTTTACTGAATTCACTTGCCTTGACGAAGACGTTTCCCTGCACGTCTTCGTGTATCTTAAGGTCCATCGACGGGTAGGAGTCCCACACCCCACCACTGCCGCCGCCCCCCGGGTGGATATTGCCACTCCCGTGCTTGTTGCGCGGCTGAAAACTCTCCGCTCGAGACTTCGAAGGGAGGGTTGATGACGAGTGGGTAGGGGGTGGAAGGAGGAAGCTGACGGCGGGTAGGGTCTCACCTCTGAATCAAGGCGTCAGCGCGGCATGAGTGAGGTGATCATCGAACCATTCGGACATATCGTGGAGCAGAGCGCACTCCTAAGACGCAGAGTGTGCATGCTGTTTCGTCCATTGCCCGCGAGGCACGAGGAGACTAGACGCCTACGTCTATCCCATGAGCACAAGTCAGGGATAGCAGAGTCAACGAGGAATCTCCTTTATCACACCAGGCCACCTGTCCGAAATAGTGTGTCCGTTTTGCTGACATGGAATCAGTCACCACAAAAGAGCGTGGTTCATGTCACACAAAGGACACCCATCGCGGCCAACAAGCACCCCGAGACGCACCGACTTCATCTGTTGGTGGACGTCGCTTGTGGTCCTGAGCCCTTCTACTTTCCTGTGCCCCTGAGACATGAACGCCTCTCCCAGATCCCTGACGCGGTCGCAGTAAATTTCCAAGAACGAGACGACGACAGCGACCTCTTTTTCCTCCTTTCATCCGCGGGCAGCATAATTCACGCAGATAATGAGGGCGGAGTGAGGGTTGGGCTTGTTGTTCATTGTGCAAGTGTAAGCAAAGAGAAATTTGAGAGGCTGAGGTTTGCACCGGAAGCACTCACCCTACCGGAAAACATGCAATTTTTGCAGGCCGGGTTCTATTCAAAGGGTCGAACTGCTCACCCTGGTTTTTCTATCCAGTTGGGCAAAAACCTCCTCCATGCACCTCGGAATCATTCCTCGCGAATTCCCGGCTCCCTCGCCGAACATGCTGTACGTTTTCCCTAAACAAGATTCAAAGGGAAGAGAATCGATCAACACTCCTCTGAAAAAAAAACTAAGGCATGCAGCGCAGAAGACCCCTTCTATGAGACACCGGAGTGTCTCAAGGGTCGAGCGTGGCTCTAGGTACAACGTCTGGTGCAGCCCATAGCTTTGCTTCAAAACGTTCAGAGCAGCACCACACGTTGGGGGGAACATATCAGCTCATTTGCTTGTTTTAGCGTGTCACTCGTGTTGTTTTTGTTTGTTTTGTTGCCTTGTCGCGTTCAAAGCCGTTCCGATATCGATACTTCGCCTTCCTGAACTTCGTCCTGATCCAACCGGTAAGGTGTATGAAACCCGTAATCGCTCGAAGGTACAAGGGAATATACGTGTTATTCTTAGGGCACGTCAACCAGCGGTTATCTGTCGATTGATGCCTAGAAATGTGTCACTAACAGCAACAAGTTCCGTGGGCCTCAGGGCGACCATTTTTATCCTAGCAGCTTGATGTTCCGGCGAATTAATGGAAAGTACCGGGTCATGCCTAATCCAGTTTTCGTTCGTTCTTACCAGAGCCGGTTTGCCCGTAAGCGAAGCAGCACCCATTGAAACCACAGAGTATGTTTTCGACCTGGGGCTTGGCGACGGCCTGCTCTGGTGCACGAGCCGAAATGTCGAGAGAGGAGGGGAGACAACTGTGTAAGGCGTGTGTTGTCCATATCTACCCATCAGTTGAGTTCTAGCATCTAACATCCGAGCCACACGTGCTGATTTCACAAGACAATGCTAGTCGTGGCAGCCGAAACCCCAGGTGGACAAGAAACCACGGTAGCACTAGGGAAGGGAACCTAATGCGTTCTTTTTCTTAGGTATTTCGTAAGCTATGGCAAACTAGGAAAAATAAGAGAGAATTTGTGAACCTTTAGTCGCCTTTGTTGTGGTTGTTTTAGCAGCGACACACAGTTTGTGTAAAGTGAAGACTTGGTTTTGACTACCAGCCGCAAATTATGTCGAATTCAGAAGGGTGTGGTTATTGTTCGTGACCCGGGGAAGAAGATAAAATAGAACCAAAACAACCCGAAGCTGTCGGCCCCAAAGCAATTTTCAGTCGAAAAGAAAATATGCAGAAAGGGAAACACACTAAAACAGTTCGAATTACGGGGGTGAGGTACGTGGAAGGTCGAGGTTCGCAAGCTAGAATAGCCAACACGTCGTCGTTCGCCCCGCTCACCCACCACTTTACTTCGACTGTGGAAGTAAGGATGAGTTGAAGGCTATGGAGACGATTGGTACAGAACAAGAGCTGGTTGGGAAAGGGAATGGTAGAATTTCAATTGGCACTCACTCGTTTGAGACTGTCGTAGCGATGACACTGCTTTTCCCTTGTAGCATAGGGCACCCTGGCTGTACATTCAGAGAGCGAGACGGTGTTGCTTTGGAGAGACGTGCGAGAGTGTTCGCAGAAAGAAAGGTTGTGCAAAGCGTGCCCCTGGGCCTCCCGTCTCTTTCCCGGGCCTGAACACGACAGCAGTAAGAACACGAGGAGAAATTACCTGAAAAATCTCTTCCTGGGAACACTCTGTCCAGAAGACCCTGTCGAAGGAGAAGTAGATCTCCCCGTGGTGCTTGGCAGAGCCCTGGACAGCGGGGTCCTTGATGCAGATCTTTTTCGGGTTGTCCGGAAAGTTCGTGATGAACGCGCTGCTCGTGGCTTGCGGCGTAGCAGACTGGCCGCCGGAGTTACCTTTTGGCGACAGGCCTGTCTCAACACGTGGGAAAGATTGTGCGATATGGGTTGATTCTAGCGCTGATTTCATTCATCTCGAAACGACGGTCGTCGAAGAGTGCACATCTTGTACAAAGCCAACCTTTGCACACTTTTACTGGCGTGTCCGGTGAACATGGTAGCGTTTCACCTCCCCAGCTCTACATGTTGTTCGAGTGCAACAGCTAGACTATTGGCTTTGCGCCAGCAAAATGAGAAGAAAAACACAAAAGGTGACAGTCATCATATCCTCGTGTTCACGCGCGCAAACGACAATGCCGGTATATGATGTGGATTATGTGTCTCCTGTAGATCATGGTGCAGTCTGGTTGTGCTGTAATCTAGGACCCTTTTGTACTACGGACCAAGCATACCCACGAGGTACGTCTGGCGTCCGGAAGAACCCTCATTGACCAAGGGAATCCTAGGAAAGTCTGCGCTATTGTCCAATAGGTCTCATGGAGCGGAACAACGTGTACAGTGTAACAGTGTAACGCACCCGCAAGGGTAGCCTGCAATGGGTTCTGGAACTTATCCTCCACAGAGGCGTCGTCATCTTGCGGACTCCAGCTTGGGTCAGGCGGTCGAGCCCTCACGTAGACGCACACCGACGAGTTTTCTGTGTTGACGTCGGTATAGTCGGTCACCACCTGGCACAAACAGAGGAGCAGCCCGAAGATGATGTAGGCTGCTCATTGCAGTTGAAATTGAACGCATCGATGCGTGCTCTACGGTAGTGGGAAATTACTTCGGCTTTGTTACCGTTGTGTTCAGTTCCCATACAACCGTTTCGGCGCTGTGTGGAAACATCCTTGCTGTGCCCCTAAAATATCGAGCGGGACCACCCTTGTGTATGCCCCAAGGGCTCCTGTTTCTTCATGAGAAGCATGTACGTGCGCTACACGCATCTTTCCTGCCTGTGGTGCACCGATTGAACAACTACTTGGTACCCTTTGGAGGTGCTTACCCTAGTAGACAAGAAACTACATCTTGTTGAGGACTTTGCTAGACAAAGAACCGTAAGACACACGAGTACTTGACATCAACGGACATTCTCAGCCAGAAAACCCTGTCCAGCTGTACTTCCCCCGCCCCGTCCAATCTGTGGTTGCCACTTTGCAGACTTGGCTTGTGCCACGCGGGTCTAGAGTTGTCTGTGTTAGGCGATGATGATGCCAGAGACTGTACCTTGTATGAGCGAAGCCGAAAGGATAGAGAGCAATCATGTTGGACTCCAGGACCGTGAATGGAAAAGGTTGCTGCATTGGTGGCGGCTGTATTGTCAGACCTGTTGAGGGACATCCTCGGAGCAAACCATCAAACACCAGTATTTCGTGGTGCTACCCGTGCCGCTCACTACAGCAGTTTACCAATCAAGAGTTGTTCAAACCGCCAGTCTGTATCCGGTAATTTATAGGCTTGTCTCAAGCTACCCAGGCAGTAAACAAGTAGCCCGACGCAATAATACAACGGCTGTTTTGCTGACAGCACGGCGAGATGTATGCCAGAAATCGTGTGATCCTGCGCTGTCTGCTCATAGCTTGACAGCAAGGATCCAAGATAGGTTTTCGAGGATTTTTGAGGCAGGTCGTTCCTCGCACCTGATGGTTCATGTTGCTTTCTGCTTGATCCTACCCAATACTGCTGTTGTTGACAATTTGGCCATCACGGAGCGGTCGATTACTTCTGCAGGTCTGAACTGTGTCCTTGCTGTTGCTTATAACTATGAAACATATTTTCAGATTCTGGGTATCCAGCCTCAGGCATCAGGAAGAGCGGCACGAAAGAGGACCAGGACGGTCGGAGAAACCGACGGGTTCGGCAGTGGGAGTTCCAGTTGGCGTTTGGGTTCAGACTACCCCATCCCTCACAATCCGTGTGACCCCGTGTGCAGCATCATCGCTCGAGCACTCTGCTGTGTGTTCACTGCCGCTGCTACTGCGTGTTGCGTTTTTAGCAATGGCTTCGCTCCGACGTGAGGTACTGGGGGGCTATAGGCGTCTCATGCGCGTGCGCGTGGTTGCTTTCAAAGACGATACGACCATGCTTGAGGCATCAAAACAACAGCTGCGGATAGAGTTCAACAAGAACAAGGCCGTCACCGACCCCTCCAAGATAGGTCAGCAGCACAGCAGAGCAAGAGGGTCGCTTGACCGTCTCTACCGGATGGAAAGTGCTTGTCAAATCGCGGATCGGTTTCTGCATGTACGTTAATTTTGCCCTTTCAAACGCCGTTAGCATTTTGCATAGCGTTTGTTGCGTCCAACCGCGCAAAGTGGAGTAATGCGGAAAGTCAACGCTCTCTATCTACACGTGTAATACAGCTGTAGGAGCGGTACTGCTGTACGGACCTGCTGGCCGTACGATGTCTCCATGCGCTTGCTTGTCTCTTGTTTCCGTGCACTGCATCAACCCGTAGTGGTAATCTCGTTGCAACTGTTGCTCGGGACGAAATGGGACAACGAGCACTGCTGTACCCCGTTCGTAGCAGAAACCGAGTAGATACAACCGCCCGCGTGGATACTTCGGGGCGAACGACCGTGTATTCGGTAACGTCTCGGTGACAACCTGCTGCCTGCGATTGCTTCCCTCTTGCCTTGAACGGTTTTGTTTCTAGCTGGGCTCATCAAGGGCATCAATGAAGTGGAGGACATGCTTAAATACAACATTGCACAGGCCAGGCTGAACGATCGAGGCCACTACGGTAAGTAAGGTATTTAGTTCGGAACTCGTCTGTACAATGTTTGGGTTCGAGTCCCGACAGAGTGAGTTTTTTCTCGAGAATGAAATCCTGGTCTCCGTTGGAAGCGACGCGCTGCAAAGCTCGTTGTTAGCGAACTTGATCGACTTCATAAGTCGCGAGGGAAGGGATTGCTGTACCCTTCTCGCGATAAAAATATCTCAGGCAGGAACCGCAGGAGGGGGTCCAACCTCCCCCTCCTACGTGACCCCGGTTGGGTCGTCTAGCTGGTAGAAGTGGAGGATAGGGGCCAGAGGGGCAGACGACAGCATCTAATGATGGGAGAAAAAAAATGCCACCGGCCTGTCTGATTCGTTTCATTTGAGAGTTACGCGCGGTATCGCACGTGTCTTAACGGCGTCGAATGTTGGGACCATTTGAGTGCGTTCGTCTTCCACGATAGCACTCGCTTATGGAAATTTGGCATCAAACTCTGGAACAATGTACCATTCTCTCTTTCGCGCGTCTTGTCTGCCCGTGTGCCCTGGTTGATTCCAAATAAAACGATTTCTACCACAACTTGTCATGCACGCGTAGCTCTCAGCCTCAACTTAAGGGAAGACCCGCTGTCCATGTAGTCGAGAACCAATTGCCGCTGCAGCTTGTAGCATTTTCGACCCTTACGGGCTGGTAGCGAAGCCAATCCATTCATGTTGCCCGACCAGAGCAAGGCCATCAGATTCCTTTTTGCCGTAGGTGCCTATAGATGTGTATCTCTCAAAGGGTTTTGCACACCCGCGATGACCGTGCGACCTCTGCATCATCGCCGACGTCAGCCTTGATCACCACCAACAACTGCCTTGTGGTAAAAGCTCCGTGAGTGGCAGAGCTTGTCACACACTTGTCTCCTTTGGCACACAGCTCTCTACCTACGTGAGGGTGTCGTTGTTGCACCCTTCCCCCCTAACTACACGTTGCTGCCCTCAACTCGATAACACCAACCACCACAAACCAGCGGTGAATGTTGCTCCAAGGACTCCAGAAGCGGCAGGAGCGGAAGAGGGTGGTACAATCGAGGTGGAACACATTGGCGGGAAGGCTGGAGATTTACCGGGGGACGTGACCGTGACCGGATCGTCATGTAACACCGCCGCAGCCGAAGGAGGGAGTGAACGGAGCTCGAGAAAAAAGCGCTGAATTTTTGCACGTACTCGGAAGAGAAAATGATTTCATCTTTTCTACCAGTGAGATTTTTTCGATCCAGACCATTTTTGGAAGGCGGGCGAGGTTGGGAACTGGTGTTCGATTTGCTGCAAGCCTGTGTAGCATGAGGCGAACCGCGAAATAATTTTTTTTTTGTTGACCTCACAAGGTACTGCAACAAACACGGGACTCAGCATGAACGCTGCAAATTGCCAGACGAGGCGTATCAAACGGCATTGGTGTACGCCGTTGAAGGTTGGAACCCAATCAGCTAATCGACTGAGGGAAGGTGGGGGGAGCTATGTAGCGACACGAGTCTTGTGATGCTCGCGACGATGATACTTGCTTCGCCCATGTATTCTTTGTGACAGCAGTGCACAGGGGAGGCAGTCCATTCTGTAAAATACGAGGTTCGAAACATCACAGCCCGTGGTGCTCGTTCAAACCACAAAAAATCCATCGAGACCGTCGTTCGCAGTCGCCCACGGGCGTTCGGGAGCATTCTGACGATATAAGCCGTCGTGTGTGCGATCGCGATCAAGCGACATGGCCAGTTTTTTACTCTCGGTGTTATTTTATTGTGCAGACAAAACTCCTGGAAACAACCAAATCATGGTCTGGCACACGAACGCAGCAGACACGAAAGCAGAGTCGAGCAAAGTTTTGACCCTTGGCCTGGAACTAGTCTATCCTACCTGGTCTATCCCCACCGAACAAGTCCACAACGAACAATAGACTCGGGGCAAAATAACCACGGGAAAATATCTGACGTACACAACGGAAAACACAACAGTCGACATGGGCACCCAAAACACAAAAATCTAGCAAGTCTCCTATCCACCTGCCCCCTCACCCTTTGGTCTATCGCAGCCGCTCTGCAAGGCTTCGCAGATTGGAAGAGCAGGTGCATTGCACACACGATACGAGACCAGAACTTACCCGCTGCCAAGCTATGATACCGTCACACGCCCTCGGCCATCCTACTCACTGCAAACACACAGAAAATCGCGTAAATTCTAGCACTTCGTTCGTCGCCACAACCCACAGGCACGATCACAATGGAGTGTTGATTGACATCAGGGAAAACAACGTGAGGCACAGCAAGTCGCACACCACAACGACCCCAACACAGCCAGGCAGTCGCCATAACCGAAAAATGATCACGACGCCGTGCGCACATAACAGTCGCAAAAAAACGCGTAACCCACCGCGCGGGAAAGGCAAGCGCACCCACCAACGTATATCAGACACGCGAGTGAAACGTGGCGTGCATTCAGAACAGCAAATAGCCCGGGTACCCCATACACCCAACAAGAGTTCGCAGAAAGGCGCAACAACCGTCAGCGGTAGGTAGATTTTGGCAGCGCCGGAGAGCACAGCGCAAGAAGCGCGCCGGCCGCGCCGCCATGCGCCGATCCGCAATAAATGAGGTGAGGAAGAGACGAACGTCGCGATTGGGCAGGAGGGCTTAGCGGGGATGGGAGCCAACAGGCAGAACGAGCAAGGTGAGGCGAGAGTGGACGCGTAACCCTGAAGGAGGCGGAAACAAACAACCTTACGGCGCTCGAGTGCGATTTACTATCTCGAGTTTCACCCTATTACATCGCATCGCCATGAGCCAGGCACGACAAATTTTGCGAGGGTACACATGTGCACATGCAGCGTAAAGAAAAGAATGAACCAGGAAATGGCTTGATTATCTGATCAAAAATATCTCACCGCGGCGACGCCATCAATGATGTCGACTCGCATCAAGCAACATGCCGCGCCTCGCAGAGGCATGCCGCGCCTCCCTAGTCCACAAAGGGCCTTGAATATAAACATCCCAGTGCAGTGTCAAACAGCGAAGAGCCAACACGGCTTCTATGCATAGCCGCCTTGCTACCCTCCTTGGCGACACCGACACAGCGAGAATCACAGCAGTGTCACACACAGTCCAAACGCCGGCCCTCACCTGCCACCTTCACCAGGCACCAAGCTCCCGCTCTCCTACGCTCCCACCAGCAAACGAAAGGCCATCGTTGCCTGCACTGAGCTTTGGGGGAGAGTAGTGCGGTAACAGTCTCGTCGTGGCACTCTCGGTTCGTACGGCGAGCAGCAGCCCGAGGGCCGGGCAAGGCGAAAAAAAAACAAAAAAGGTGAAAGGCGGCAGGCGGATGCCACAGTCGGCATCGGCAACAAGCCTGGCACGGTGAAAAGCCAGGGCATGCTACGGTGCATCTGTCGCTACCAACAGGCCCCGTGTTTTTCAGGGTAATCAAGCACCATGGCAACATACGGGGAAGGAGGGACGCGCTTGGAGGGGGAGGGTGGGGGGGAGGGGGAGGGGGCAGATACCACTGCCGCAATACTTTCAGAACTTTCAAAATTCTGGCGAGGTCGCTTTCAGGTGACCGCTATCAAAACATGAACTCCAACCACAAAACCTGCACCTGGGGCATTGTATTGTCCCGCGAGACTTAACAAATGATACCGAGAACACGAAAACACCATTCTTACCATGCTTTACACTCTGACCGCTTTCTACCATATTTTTTAACTATGACCGCTTACCAGAAAAGTACCGAGTTATGGGCTGGCCATCCCTATCTCCCACCAGACTCTCCATGAACAAAATTATCCCACGTACATGGGTAGCGGTAGCACTGCTGCTGTACACATGAAGAGGTATTCCGAACCGGTGGTGTGCCCCACCAACCAACGTCGCTGCCCTACCGTGGCGGAGAATTCAGATCGCCGCCTGCCCCTCCGAAAGCCCAGCAAAAAGCCTTCCTACCATTTGCGCTGTGACCCGGACCTTTTCCTTCGTCAAAGCGCGACGGGAAGTAGGCGTTTTGCGTACGCATGGGGGAATGGGAGCGGGGGGCGGACGAGGGCAGTGCGAAACGTACACACGAGGGCAGCGCAGGGGCCGAAGACAGTCACTCAGTCCCACAGGCCTTTTGGTGCGCGTGTATACATCCCCCCTCCGAACTTCGCCGATACCTCGCGTGAACACCAATCTTCTCCGTTGGCTTCTTCACACCCTCTCCATTGGCTTCTACACACGGACCCGCACCAGGTCTGGGGTGTCCTCTTGCACAGCTCCCCTCCACCAGGTGCCTCTTTCGACGCCAGGCGCGAGCTCCGCGAAGATCCTTCCAAGAAAGCTCGGCTGCCACACGGACCAAGCCCGCAGGGTAGGGTCAGGGCTTTGGTGTTGGTAGCACCGACGGAAGAGCGGCGGCGGCACCGGCGCCGGCGCCATAGGCAGCAGCGGCAGAACTCGTTTTTCTCCCGGTCTCCAACAGAGCTGGCATGCCCCCCGCCGTGCCTGCGCCGTGTTGTTGTCGTTGGTGCAGCTGCTTGGAAGCCTGCTTCTGCCGTTGCTGGGTCGAGACTTCGCGTCTGGCCCGCAGCTCGGCAAGAAGAGCTGCCGCGGCGTCGCGTGAGTCTTGCGCCAGGCGGGCGCTGGCGGCCGCGCTCTTGGCAGCGAGGGAAGCAGCGGTCGACTCCAGCTTTCGTCGTTGCTGAGAGACATCGGCCAAAGCTTTCATCACTCTACGGTGTACGGCGTGATTTGAGCACATCATTCGGGCAGGGGCAGGGAAGCGGCGAGGAGGCAGTGTTTTTGCTCCGGCGAACGTTGGGCACGGCACAATGGTAACCGCGTTTCCCGTGCCAAAAAAAGACCATGACAAAACACACGATTGTAAGACACAGCTATGCCAGTAGGTGGCCGAAACGGCGCTTACAGGAAGGGGAGCGCTGCGGGTTTGCTAGCGCCAAGCACACAACGCAGTGCTGGTGACGATGGGCGAACAGCCGGGCATCACCTACGCAGCAGGCACCCTACGTGCTGCAGCTTACGGCATCGCCACGTCCCGAGCACACAACAGGAGGCAAATAAAGAATAAGTGTTCCTGAAACGCACCGCCTCGTGCGCAACCAATAGCATCACCACGTACCTCGGGATCTTGGTCTCCTGTAGCGCCCTCAACTCCTCCTCTGCCTCCCGGATTCTCGAGCCCCACGTTCCTGCCACCGTTACCGGTCGCTTGGCCCCGCGCGCGGTCGCCGCAGCGCCACCCGCAAGCGCCATCGGCAGGTCTGCCAACGCCGCCGTCGACGCCGATGTCGACGGTACGGGCGCAGCCTGGGCTCGCCTCTTCTCTCCCGATGATACAACGACGGCATTTGCATCGCCACCGCCGCCGCCGTCACCACCAACCGCGGTTGAGAAAGCCACCAACGAAGCAACCGTGGCAGCGGCCACCGTGCCAGTAGCCTCCGCTGCTGTGGTCGATGAAGATGACTGCTGCTGCTGCTGCTGCTGCTGCTGCTGCTGCTGCTGCTGCTGTCGCTTCTTCTCCTGTCGCCGAACCTCTCGCTCCGCCTCGAAGCCGGCGACCACCGCCTCCGCCGGCAGGACAACTCCCACATAGCTCGCGTTCCTGGAAGGGTCGCAGGCCCCCATGTTCGGCCCCCTCTCCAGAAGCTTGAAGTACTCCCCAGAGAGGCGGTAGGGCCACGCGCGCATCGTCGGGTCCGGCTGGCCGGTCGGCCGCATCACCACCAGTCGTTTGCCGAAAGCTCGTAGAGGCGGCGGAATCCCTGCCGCAGCACCGCGGCGGACGGGCGACACCGTGCGAGGAGGGGCTGGCGCCGGAGCTGCTTTCGTCGGCAGCGGCGCCGACGGCGGCGGAGGAGACGGCAGGCGCTTGGCCAGTGGGGCGGGAGAAGGCGAGCGCCGCACGGCCGGAACGTCGCTCACTGCTGTTGCTGTTGCCGTTTTCGCCCCGTTCGCAGCGGCGGCGGTGGCGGTGGCAGGATTCGGCAGGCGTTTGGCGGGTGGGGTGGGAGAAGGCGAGCGCCGCACGGCCGGAACGTCGCTTGCTGCTGTTGCTGTTGCCGTTTTCGCCCCGTTGGCAGCGGCGGCGGTGGCGGTGGCAGGATTCGGCAGGCGTTTGGCGGGTTGGGTGGGAGAAGGCGTTTTCGCTCCGTTGGCAGCGGCGGCGGTGGCGATGGCAGAACTCGTGACCGTGGCCGCCGCTTTCGTCTTGCCTACCACAGCGGCTGAGGGGACCTTTTCCGCGACGGCCGCTTTTGTCTCGCCGACCGCAGCGGCTGCGGGGGGCTTATCGGAGACGGCCGCTTTCGTCTTGCTTACCGCAGCGGCTGGGGGGGGATTTTCCACGACGGCGGGGGTGGGAGCTTCCGTCGATGCCGGCAACGACGGAGGCTTCGCCGCTACCTCCGCCGCCACCTCCGCCGCCGCTGCTCCTGCTGCTACCGCTGCCGCTGCCGGTTTGGCCTTCTCCGGCAACGACGGAGGTTTCGCCGCTACCGCAACCGCCGCCGCCGCTACCGCTGCTCCTGCCGCTGCCGGCTTGGCCTTCGCGGGAACTTTCCCTTGACCACGAGCATTTCCTACCGCTGACGCGGCGTCGACGCTGCTCCCTGACTTGGACTTTTTATTCGCTCCATCAGCAGCGGCCGTCTTCCGTGGGGCCCCCGACGCTGCTGTCTTCGTCTTGGCGGCTGCTCTCTTCGCTCCTACGCCCTTGGACTTCGACCCTGTCGGCTTCCCGCCGGCTACCGCCGCCGACTTCCCGACCGCAGCAGCCCCCGCCGCGCGTGCTTTCGTCGCTGCCGCTGCGATCAGCCTCTCTCTCTCGAGCGCCTTGAGCGCCTTCTCCCTCGCCAGCATCACCCGGCTGGAAGAAGCAGCAGCGGCCACTGCTGCTGCGACCTTGGGCGGGTGCTCGCTGCTTCCGGTACCGGCCACACCAGATTTTGCCGCTTCCGTCGGAGCAGAAGATGAGGACGATTCCGAGACGGCCGGCGCCGATCGAGGAGGCGGGGGGGAAGGAGCGGACGATGCTCGGGCGTGCTCCACCTGAATGCGCGGCGAGTTATCGAACTTCGACGTTTCCACCCCCAGCTCGGCGAGGCGGGCCACGGCCACCGCCTTGTCTTCGGAGCATTTGAACGTCATCAGCAGCAGGAAGTCTGCCAAAGGGCACGCAGAGGAGCGAAAAAAGGGGATCGGGCCGTAAGAGTATAAAACTCAGAAGCATCGTAGAAGCACACAGGAGATTTCTGGTGGAAGGCATCGTGGCACATTTCCATCGGCTCCCGCCAACGGGATCTGACAAACTCTCGGGGCTTCTGTGGTGGCTGACACTACGCAGAGAGCGCAAAATATGTGCTTTGCGGCGGTGTTGCAAATTCTGTGCCGACTTCATCGCCGGAGAGGGAAAATTGGGCCGCTGAACGAGCCCACGTCTCGAAAACCCTGCAAGACGAGTACCTGGTGCGAAAATGGGGCGTTCGGGGAAAGACATCCTCGCGTGTGGACCCATCTCGACGCGTCGTTACACCATTAATAGAGGAGAGGCTTAGGGAGAGATTGGATTAGGGTGTGCCCATAACAGAGGGAATAAACGAGGATATGCAACACGATGGACACAGTACTGTTGTTCTTGTTTTTCTTGTATTTTGGTTTTCAGGTCTAATACTTGGAGCGAATCGCAGGGGAAGAGCCGCGCCTGCAGTTGCAACATCAACTTGACCAACCTATGTAACGTTTGCGCTGCATTGATCCCTTTCGCCGTGCTCCCAAAAGCAAAACGACGTAGGGTGCTTCGCAACGACGGTAACAACATGGCAACGGCAGAACCTGCTTGGGGAGCTTTGACATCTAGCACGTAGTGCCGTACACACAAGCTGCAATGCGTTACCAAAAAGCAGCAGCGCCAACAAATGAAAAGCCAACTCACGTAGCTCATTTATGCATACGACAACTCTGCGCAAAAAACAACAACAACTTGAGTCTCACCACGACCGGCCTCGTTGTCGTCGCAGGACGCGCAGGTCGGCGTCTGGGCCGCCAGAGACTTGGCCAGCACCGGCTTCACTTCCAGCGGCAAGCTGTAAGGCTCCCCCAGCTCGTGTCTGTCCACCCAAACCGCTCCGGGCAGCTTCGAAGCTCCCGCCAAGGCCTTGCGCGGTAACAACGCCGCGCCAACAAGGACCAGAGCGTAGTTGTACGGGGCCGACCGCCAGTTCCGAAGTGCAGAACGTTGCTTCTGTAGGGACGTTACGGCCGCCGCCTGCTGGTCGGCAGGAGGGCCAGCAGCGCTAGCCCCGCCATTTGAGCGAGTCTCGGGCAGAGGAGGGTCGGCGGCGGCGGCGGCAGAGATAGCGGGTAAGCTCCGGCGCGAGGAGCTGGGTTCGAGAGGAATGCTTGGAGCGGGATTGCTGTCGTGCGCTCTTGCCGGGGCAGCGGCGGCAACGCCGGCGATGGGCCCGTCTACTTGTGGTGCTGGCGAGGCTGCCGGGGGCGGTGTTCCCCGCGGCGGCGGCGGCGGCGGCGGCGGCTGCTGCGGGCCCGGCCTCGCGGGAGCATCATCGACCGGCGCCCCCCCCCCCACCCCCGTGTCCACCGCCGAGGATGTCCCCTCGGGCGGCTGCTCTCCACCCGCTAACGGAGGTGCCACCTGTCGCCAAAGCGCCTCCGACGCCGCCCGCCGTTCCTCAATGGTGGGGCCCTCAATGGTTGCCGAAACGAACTGCTGTGGCTGGGGTTGTGTCGCCTGATCCGGCACCCCAGGATTGCCAGCAGGGGCGCGTAGCGGTGGCGGTGGTGCTTCCGCAGCAGTGCTCAATTCCGCTGGCGCTTGGGCCCAGAAAATGGCTTGCCCCCGCGGACGAGGAGGATGAGGTGTTCGCTGCCGCTGTTGCTGCTGCTGCTGCTGCTGCTGCTGGTTCCAAGGGCCGTCCGCGGGTAGGTGCTGCCCCCCGTTCACCAATATCATCTGCGGCGGTGGTAACTCTACCGGAGGGTGCTGGTAGGACAGCGCGGGGGGCAGAGGTGGCCCAAAGCCAAGCTGCGACACCGCGGGGGGCACCACACCGAGCGGCAACTGCACGGTGGGCTCGCCAACAGTAGTGACAAAACGCTGGTCGCCCGCCCCCTCTCCGATCTCGTCGAACTGCTCCTGTCTGCCTGGTGGTAGCCGCCTCTCTCTGTCAATCCTTCCCAGCAGCTCTCGCCCGATGTCCTCTCCGTTAGCGATGACAAAACGTTGGTCGCCCGCCGCCTCGTCGATCTCGTCGAACTGCCCCTGTCTACCCGCCGGCGGCAGCCTCTCTCTCTCAATCCTTCCCAGCAGCTCTCGCCCGAAGTCCTCCCCGTTGTCCGCGGCGGCGGCGGCACTACTACTCCAAGCAGGCTCCTCCCGCCCTTCCGGATCGTCTCGTGAGTCTCTATCGGCGCCGCCGGTCCCTCCCACTCCAGGCTCCGGTTCATCCTGCTCATCGTACCAAACACTGGACTGTCCGTCGTGACCCGCGGTAGACTCCACTCGAGGTGCCGTCCGACGCCAGGCCGGATTGCTGTTGTCCCTCCTGCTGCTGTTTTCTCTGCTGCTGTTGTTGTCGCTTTTTTGGTTGCCGTTGACGCCCTTGACGTAACCTATCCCCGCGCGCTTCCTCTTCCGCGGGTTTCCGCAAACCACCGTGGCGGCGGCGTTGTTCCGTCCCATTGCCCTCGCGCGCTCCGCGTCGAAGTCCCTCAAGAACTGAAGCCTGCTTTCCCTCTTGCTTTCAGCGGTCTCCTCTTCCTCCTCGCGTGGCGGCGGGTCTTGCGTCAGGAAGCCGTCATGGTCGCCGCTGCCACCGCCGCCGCCGCCGCCGCCGCCGCCGCGTCCGCCGCCGCCGCGTCCGCCACCGCCGCGTCCGCCGCCCCTACCTTTGCCGTCGGTGGGAGTGGGGAAGTACTCCGGGGAGATCGGGCCAGCAGCCATCTGGGGGGGGGAAGAAGAGAGAGGCCCAAAGGCGTCGTCCCCGTGCAAGCCGGCCCCGGCGCCGTTGTCGTTCGCCCTCCTCCCCGTAAGAAACCCCGTGGTGGCGGCGGCGGCGGCGGGCCCAAAGTTTTCGTGCCTTTGCCCGCGCGTCCCATGTATCGATGGTATGAAGGGCTCATGCTGGTGGTGCTGGTGCTGGTGCTGCTGGTGCTGCGGGTGGTCCAACGGAGGCTGCTGGAATTGCTGGTGGTGGTGGTGGTGGTCCATCTCTTGCTCGTGGTGTTGGTGTTGATGTTGCCGCAGTTGCCGCTGCTGCAGCTGCAGCTGCTTCACATGCCGCCTCTGTAGCTTCCGCTGCTTCTTGGTGAAACGACCGTCCGGCCCAGCGGGCACAGTAAAGAACTCCGGTGTGTTTAGTCGCAACGTGCCTGTGCTATCGCCGTCGTGAAACGCTGCCGTGCCTCCTGATGGCGGTGGTCGGTTATGGGGGTGGTGCTGCTGTTGGTGGAAAGCGTGCGGATCATCATCATCGTGGAAACCACCAGCCCCTGGCTCACCGTATCCCGGCTCACCGTGACCTGGCTCGCCGTAACCTGGCTCGCCGTAACCTGGCTCGCCGTCACCTCCGTCCATTGCTCGTAAATCGAACGGGATGAACCCCGGCGGCGGCTCGGTATCGTCGAAGTCTCGGCCAAAGTCTCCAACACGACGGACATCGCCGCCCATTATCATTCCGTGGTGAGGTAACCCGAAGTCGTCGGCAGGAGGACCGTCCCACATGGGCTGTTCACCCGGCCGGTGGTGGTCTGGCATCGAAGGGGTGAGTGGGCCCACCATTATAGCCCCACTTGGATGCCAGCCATCGTCCCCGCTTGGATGCCAGCCGTCGTCCATCTGCATCCCCCGCTGCTGCTGTTGCCGCCGGCGGTGAAAAGGAGGAGGAGGAAGGCCGGCGTCGTCGAAGTGCGGGGGGGGACCCGGATAACGTTGCTGGCGCACCGGTCTCGGCGGCTTTCGTTTCTTCGGTTTCGTCTTTGCCTTAGGAGGCATCTTTCGCGCGCAGATTGCCCACGAGCAAGGCCGGGGAGAGAGGGTACGGTGGCGCGGCGGAAGGACGATAGCCTTGGAGTAGAGGTCAGATTGGACACAAGTAACTACGTCGCCTGCGTCGCCAGCGGCGGGGGTTGCATGAGGGGAATAGGAGGGGGGGTGATTTTCCCGATCCCAGGCCGGTGCCCCCTCCATGAAATGAAACGGCTGAGTGTGTTGCCGTGGCCCACCAGGCACACAGCTCTTTCAGACAACACCTTGCCGGGCGGAAGTCGTAAGGGATAGATAACTGAGGGCTACCTTGTTCCCAATAAGCGTGTTAGCGAAGGAACCCTTCGATCATCACGTACTTCTTTTGCAATTAGGAGTACAGAAAAACCTGGGACTGCAGCGTATCCCCGACACAACAACCCGTCCGTCTTTTGGATCCACGGGAACAGACAGCGCCACGCCGGATCCGAGCTCCTCTCAACACACCTGTCCGCAGCATTCTCTGGCTCGTAGAGGGACGGGAAATCAACCCTCGTGGGACAGCCGAAAAGAAGGATGGGACTTTTGACGTTGCTGCGCAAGCTCAAGAGAAGTGACCAGGAGGCCCGTATCTTGGTGCTCGGTTTGGACAACGCGGGCAAGACCACGATCCTCAAGAAGCTCTCGGAGGAGGACATCACACACATCATGCCCACGCAGGTACAAGGCTACACCAGCAGAAAGAACGAAGGGCTAGCCTTCTTCTGCGCGTGCCGGACAGTGCATAGGTTGAGAATCGTGCGTGTGAGCTTCGGTTGTTCAACTCAGAGCTTCAGCTCTTGATCCAACGTGTTTGAGGCGTACGCCGAACGGGTGCTGTATATAACAGCTGTAGGCAGTCTACGGAACTTCTTTCCGCAGGAACGCGCATGTTTTGATCGGGCCAAATATCTTCGTTGGATGCTGTATGTGGCATGGCGTTTTGTACGAGGATGCCCCGAGACACTGCTGCTGTAAGGCACGAATCATTCTGCCGTCTCTCACCTAGTAACGATGTGTACATTTACACAGTAGTGTAGGTAGGACGACCAAACGAAGAAGGACTTCTCTCTGGTCTGGTCTACAGCCGTCTACAGCAGTACCGTGGTAGCCATTCCCTCTTAGACTACGTGGTGAGCTCCCCTGTCCATGAGAGTTGAAGACACTACCGGGTAGAAATCTCGCAGGTATTCTTTGTGCGGTTTTGTGTTCGACGTCCGGGAAGAAACTGGAACTGCCCACCCGAGGGCACAAATGGCGAGCTTGCGGTCCTCAAAAATGCACCCATTGATTGCAAAAGTGAGATGTGCCAACCTAATCTCTAGTCTTCGTCCTGCAGTCCAAGGCCGACACTGAGTCGATCCAACCAAGAGAACAAGACAACTACGAAACAATTGATCAACGTTCGAGCCATGCACCTTAGAAATCACATATTTGGTACAGCATCGTTTGATAGTGGTCACATCATCGTTTTCTGTCTCTTGCCTCGTTTGCTAGGTTGCACATGCTCCTGGGAAAGATACTCGTACAAGTCAAGCTCACGAAGCGTGTCCTCATCGTGCACGGCATGATAAATCCTTCCTATATGACGGTAGCTCTTTCTTCTCCTCTCAGCGCAAACCAATTTTTCTACGCATGTCCGTCGCCCTCCCAACCTCTCCACCCAGGGCTTTAACATCAAGAGCTTGATGCATGAGGACTTCAAGCTAAACGTTTGGGATATCGGAGGGCAGAAGTCTATTCGGCCGTACTGGCGCAACTACTTCGACCAGACCGACGCGCTGATCTACGTTATCGACAGCGCTGATAGGCGACGCATGGACGAGGTGACATATCCCGCCCGAACCACGTCGTTCGACCAAACCAACGCGCCGTGACAACGAAGAAGGACCCCATTATCATACTATCAAGTACAAGTACCAATCACGGAGGAAGCGGTCCTTCGTACAAAACATGCACTTTCTTTTTGCTTTTGTCTCTCAAACTGCTGTGCGTGGACACAAGATCTTGGTCTTGAATTTGTACCTACCACGCGCGTTTGACGAAGTTACCTGAAGCGTGCGGTTTCACCTGCCGCGTGATTCTCTCCTGCGTGCTTGGAGCAACCCGTTAGTTAGTCAAAGGTTTTGAGAATCCCTGGTGTCCTCGCTCGTCCGACATAGCCCATGCCTATGGTTCTACAGGGTGGAGGGTAGCAGCATATCCCAACGTCATGATTTTTCCCGCTTTGGCCACACAATGGTGCGTCGCCTTTGACGAGAGTGTTGCCTGCGCTCAGGCGAATTCTCGACCAGGGGGATGGCGATAGTTTGGGATTGATTTCTGAACAACAACAACAACAGCAACAACAACCACAACACGACGACAACAACAACAATCACAACAACAATCACAACAACAATAACACAACATATACAACGCCGGGGCACCCTTCCACTAACCGAGGAACTTCCTTCTTGTCGTGGTGGGTGAACGCCCGTGCAACAATCGCTGGCAACGTGCAAAACGCGAAACAGACGGGAGTGGAGTTGGGGCAGCTGCTCGAGGAGGAAAAGCTTGCCGGTATCCCGGTGCTCATTTTCGCCAACAAGCAAGACCTCCTTAGCGCCCTATCTTCGGATGAGGTTAGTCCACAGTTTAAGGGCGATGATATACACGTCCATGCAAGAAGAGACGAAGTCAGGTTGGAGCGACACATACAATGAATCAGACATTACCCCGTGTGTGCGACTTATCTCTCTCTGCGGATGAAGAGTTCATGCCGGGAATAATTTCTGTCTTTTTTTATGAGCCTCGGCTACAATATACTCCGTGTTGTAGTAGTGCATACTAGTCTGTCCTTCCAGGGACTGTGGGTAACTCTACTTTATGTATTCTGACCACATGTGGTGATTGTTGCTGCTATGATTCTTGTCGCCTTGGATGAAAGCCATGGAGCAAGGACTCAGTCGCGCACTGAACCAGATGGACACAGGTTGCGGTGCAACTCCTGCTTCTCTATCATGACGCCGTACCGTGCTAGTCGTTGTTTGTTTAACAAGCGAATATCTCTCATTCACTACGTAAAACCTTTGTCGTTTTCTTCGCAACTTTGACGGCTAAGGAACTTCGACTAAAAAAACGGGGTCCCGATAATGACCAAGTCCCCAATTGAAACTCCATACAAAACAAGATATAAGACGTTGTTTTTCGCCGTGGTTGGCGTTCGAAATGGTTGAGAGGGAGGGGAGGAGAGGGGAGGGGAGGGGAGGGGGAGACGAGAGGGAGGATAGGAAGGACTTGACACTTGTGTGGGGCGTCGTTGGATTCCACGAAATGACGTGCCTCTCGACACGGCTATTCAACTTTGGAAACAGGACGCTCAATCAAACGGTGTTGTTCTAACTTCTTGTTGTTTTGGCCTGCCTGTCGCCTGACAAAACAATCCGCCGCTTTGGACAGGGCATCTCCCCGACGCGCGGGGAAGATTGTAGGTTTACGGGGCATCAAAGACGCGAGGTTCCATGGCTTTTCCAGTGTCTCGGCTCTCTTCATGCCGTGTACGACCCGAAGAACGTGTTACAACAACAACAACATCACCGACGACAACAAACAACAACATACTACGTACTTCTGCTGCTATCTTCTTTCTCTGCTCTATATTTTTGCAGATCTCCCAGGGGCTGAACCTCCACACCATCAGGGACCGCACGTGGTTCATCCAGGCCGCGTCGGCCAAGACCGGGGAGGGGCTCCAAGAGGGGATGGAGTGGATCGTCAGCCAGATCAACGACGGAGCGGGGGGCGGCGCCGAGGGCAAGAATTGAACCCACCTTCCGGCGGCACTTCTTGAATTAGTACTACGGTGCATTGATTATTGAATAAAGCACAAAACATTGCGACGTTTTCGACTGGCCAACCGATGTCTGTTGGTTTCTCTGTCTTTGAGAAAAGTGGATGGGTGCGGCTTCTGTGGCCCGGGTATGGCCATCTTTTCAGAACGATGTGGTTCTTCCAGTTCTTAGTCGTCGTCTCTTCTTGTATTTTCGGCGTTCGAACGCAGAAAACAAACAAAGCGTGCTTACAAGCAAGCGACTCCATCTCGCGCTGGACTTGTTTCGCCCTCTTTTTCCCACACCCATCATCGCTACATGTATTGTGTGTGTATGCACTCTCTTGAAAGCCGACGTGTACGTTGATGATACGGCCTGCCGGCAGCCGGTGAGCTATGTACCGAAGCTCCAGGTTGAAGTATGCAGGTACCACACCGCGCAGCAGGGAGATCCATGCATGCACGAGTGTTCGTCGTTTCGTTCGAGAGGGGAAGAAGGGGGGATATTATCAGCGGTTGGTGGCGTTTGTTGGGTTTGGAGGAATATTCGGCCCCGACGCATGCATTTCGTTTTTGGTGTTGTGCTCTTTCGACAAACACCGGCCGTTGTGTCCATGGTGTGTGGACGGTTGTACGAGATTTTTGCGCTGTGCAAATGTTACAAGCTTAGGCCGTTTTCTTTTCCACTGTGAAGGCCTCGTTCAGGTGATGTGTGCGTGTGCTAAACATACGGCGTGCCACGCAAGGCAGGCCCGCGGGGGGGGGAGTCGCCAGATGAATCGGGCGGGGGGGGGGGCTGGACGTAACCTTTGGGGCTAAGATGTACGCATACACTTCGCTCTCCTGGTGGTTCTGGTGTTCTTTCCGTCCTTTTCGAGCGTTGTTGGGTATACCCCTGAATGAAGCAGTTTCATCATATGTATCCGCCGACAAGGGCTGCAATCCGCGGTTGGTTTGTGGCTGCCCTCCTCGTGCCGCACAACTCGTTGACCCTCTGTTGAGCACAGCACCACCACCACAACGACGTCCCAGACTACACGTAGCTCTGGCGACTTCATCGCAGACGACACCACTACCTCTTGCGGGCGGGCGGGCGTGCTGGGATCTCGCGCCCGTGGCATTTCAGCGCGGGCCAATGAAAAAGAAGAATAAGGGTGGCGAAATCCCCAACTCGAGGTTGCGCTCGATGAGGTTCGAACGACGTTGATTGGACGCCTTCGACGGTCTCCCCTCGAGCCAATGAAATTTCTCGGTGGATCGGGGCGGTATCGACAAAAGATTGCGAGGGACAAACATCGCACGGTGGGTGCTCGAAGAAGGCCAGATAAAAAGTGAATCAAAATGCATGCAGCGAACACAAGCTCGAATGAAGGCGGGACATGTTAATAATTGTTCCTTTTTTTAGGGGACTAACGACTATACTGGGCAGTCAGTGCTCTCTTAACATTTGCGTGTCGCAACGCAAAAAACAAAACAAAAAAGCGCACGATCCGACCTCCACCCCACACCCGAGACCTTGCTGTGGGCGAGATATGTTAAACCTGCCCACCCGGAGCAGAATAAAATGTGGCACGCTTCGCCTGTAACATGGGTCGGATCACACGGAAGCGTGTGTCCGCGCCATCGTGCGCAATACACAACAAACCAGGAGGACGACAAGCAGGAGAAGGGCGCCACAATGCGTCGAACGTCTTTGGAAATGGGAAGGGGGGTCGACGTTAGAATTGACACAGAAAGGTGAACGCCGGCACATCTCTTCTTGTACAGCCGTTACGGCCGCACGAAAAAAGATAGGAACACACAAAAAAAATTACGAATGAACAAAAAACAGCAAGAAATACGACAAAGGGCGTACAATACAGGGGGTGGTTGCGATGGATGGACAAACGAACCCACTTGAACGAATCGATTCACGCTCGACTCATTCTTGGGGGACGGGGACGGGGACGGGGACGAGGGCCGGGGGGCGGGGGAGTGCAAAAAATTTGCAGCGACACCGACTCACTAGGCCGTTACACTCATGGGTACACTTCGCTCTGTAGGTCGGCAACACAAATTTGGGGTGAGAACATGTGCTTACGGAATTGAGCATCAGGAACCACCCTCTTACTTACGAAACCTCCCTCGGCGCCTAGTACTGACCCGCAGCGCAGGATCTCCACCTCCCCCCCCTCCTCCTGCATTGAATCGACTGGCGTGAAATAAAACAAACATCGAAACGTAAACAGCAGTTGCCCGCCTTTCTTTACCTTTTAAGCCCCACGAGGCAGTGTTATTATACCTCTTGGCCCACAACCTAACCGGTATCGTCAATAAATCGCCACACATTATAACATCTGGTAGCGGTTGTGCTAACTTCGTGCTCCCCAAAAAAACTGCGTGCGCGGAAAAAATCACGCACACGACCGACTTCTTCCCAACCCAATTCCCCCCCCCCCCCCCCCCCCCCCCCCCCC